TGCAACATTCGTTTAATCAGAATACTAGTTTTGTTAAGTCTATCGAAGCGTTCAAGTTACCCGGTTGAGATACACGCAAAACCGAAGTTTCCAAAACAACGATTTGTCTACAATAGCGGTTCTTTATTAAATAATACACAAAATTTAGTTACAAACTTCAACTTGTGAGGTTTCTGGACCGTTTAAACGCGTCCTTAAAGTCTGAAAATAAAAAGGCTTCGATAGTACAAAGGACAGTTAATAGCTGTGTCTAAATTTGATAACAGTTTACGAACAATCGAAACCCAAACCAAGAGCAAACAATATGGAAACTGTTGCGTTTAAACAAATGCACAAAACTGTGGATAAAGGCTACAGCGATTAAGATACAGTAATTATAATGATAAATACAATGATAAGTACAATAAACGTTATAAATATATGTGAACATTTCAGAATATTACAGTACGACTGGCGTTACAACATAAGTTTGAAAATTGTTGGAAATACACTTGCTTACTGAATGTAAATAAGTAGTATAAGAAAATATACAAAAGAGTAGAAGGGGAACGAGTAGGAACAATGTAAGACAAACTTAACAAGTTCAAAAAATAAATTTATCTAGTTTTAATTAGTTAAATCTACTGTTGAATTATTATTAGTAAGATAAATCGAGGAAATACATTTAATTTAATTGAGACGATTCATATTCAAGTTTTTATTCAATCTTATCACTTCTATGTTATTCTCTTTGAAAAACTACTTTATAGATGTTAATAACATCTAGATATAAATAAACGGAAATGTTGAACTCCAATTATTATGTTAAGATTGAATCAAGTTATCTTCCTTTACTTATAATATAATTGTCTGACTCTATTAGTAAAATGGCTGATTTTACAATTCAATTACAATATCATTGATTATAATGTAAAATATAAAACTTAAAACTTTTTGGTTCGACAACAAGAGATACACTAGCGGAAATTACGCTAATTCTTATCATACCAGTTTGATAGGATTTTAGCTGATTATAAGTCAGTTAAAGCTAGACCACCATGGAAAACCTGAAAGTACTAGATGGCCGTTTCATTCTATTGTGTGACCACTTAGCACTGCGGATCTACGATCCCACCTCACCAGATTCGAACCCAGGACCTATCAGTCTCACACGCTATGTCATAACATTTTTACAAACAGAATGAGAATTCCCCCCTTCCAAAAAATTATCAATAAGAATCTATTGCCAAAATTGTTTTATGCATTATTTATTCATTGAAAAGCAAACCAAAATAAGAGAATGAGAACTACACTGATATAAATAGAATCATAAGCGCTGTATAGAATCAATTATCTTATTTAGAAACTGGATTTATAATAAACAATTCCACTCTAACATAATGAATCAACCATAAATAAACAAAATTGTTGTTTTAATCAAATCATATAATAGTTACAAGTGTACAGTACAAATGGGTGAAATGAATGAACATAGAAGAACTAGATAGTTAACTAATTACTATTATTATTATTATTATTACTATTATTATTATTATTATTATTATTATTATTGAAAATCAATTAATTGTTACCTGGAAGGAGCTGGAAAGGATTGCCCAGGACAGGGTTGGATGGCGAATGCTGGTGAGCGGCCTATGTTCCTTCACGAGGAGTAACAGGCGTAAGTAAGTAAGTAAGTAAGTAAGTGTTCTAATGTAATCGATACGACATCAATTCGAACGTTTATCAGATAATTGAAGTGTTAATATGTAAATATTGAAGTACCAATAAGTGTATCAATCCAATATAGAGTGAAAAAATCCATTTCTAGAGGAAAATTATAATAAAATGAAGATGCTTATCTCAGAAAATCATAAAACGTTTTATAAAAAACAATTATTTAATTGACTGTATAGGAGATTGGATAATTTTCACAGTTGAATATCGAATTGATCCTAGACAAACCAATATTAAAAACTTAAAAGCACTGGATAGTTGTTTAGTCCTAATATGGGATTCTTTAGTTGTGACCATACATAATCCACATCCGAGTATTTAAAGCTGGACACTAGTTGTTGTAAGATATTGTCTAACCTATTGACCAATGGTTAACTCCCGTATGCTGAAAATAATCTTTTTTAACTAGTGACTAACTTTAGATTTAACTCTGCCTGGAGCCCCTCTGGAGCTACTGCCGATCCCAAACCCAGATAAAGGACGGGGGTTGGACATGGGGTTAGCGACCCCATCCCATAGAAAACTAACTCGCTAAAAAAACGATAACCGAAAAAATTATTCAAACTAATTAAACTCTACCCTGGGAATCACAAGGTCTTCATTTAGAAGAGTTATGACACCCCGTGGTGAAATCTGAGTTCTTACGGAAGTCACAAGGCCGATGCCCCTTCTTACAGCAAGAGCAACCATTTATTTAGGTACATGGAATGCTCGTACAATGTGGGAGACCAGAAGAGTCTTCCAAATTGCTGCAGAAATGAGGAGATACAACCTGGAGGTGCTTGGGATCAGTGAAATACATTCGACGCAAGTTGGACAACAACGACTAGCTTCAGGAGAGCTTCTGTTATACTCTGGCCATGAAGAAGAAAATGTCCCACATACACGAGGAGTTGCATTGATGCTGTCCAAACGAGCACAAAATGCACTTATAGGATGGGAATCTCATGGACCAAGGATCATCAAAGCCCCCTTCAAAACAAAGAAAGAGGGCATTTCAATGAACATCACTCAATGCTATGTGCCTACCAACAACTACAATTGAAACGTTAAAGACCGATTGCGATGGCTTCCGCAATGTGTAAAAGGCGCACTCGTAAACCATGTGGCAAATTCGATGGGATATTGTAGATAACCTTAAAAGCTTTATTCAATTCAACTTGATGACCTGATTAAAACTTCTATTCTCTCTCACTTGGTTAACACAGGTCGTCAATTCGAATTGAATAAAGCTTTTAAGGTTATCTACAATATCCCATCAAATTTGCCACATGGTATACGAATGCGCCTTTTGCACATTGCGGAAGCCATCGCAATCCATGTTCAGAAACTTGATCTTTGCATTCAAAAGAGATTTGTACAACCACTTCCTCTACCCTGGCCAACAGTATAAGATTTCCTTCAAAAGAACTATTTTCCATACTTCTTCCACTTGTTGTTTTTCTTTAACTTTCGTGATTTTGTTTCTGTTGCTTTTGAACTTTATAACTTTTCAACATTCATCTCTTGATTCTTACGTAACTACTATTCTATTGACCATCCATTAAAAAAATTCTGTTCCTTCTCTCTTTTTAATATATTACTCAAGGCAGCAACTTCTTGATTTAGTAATTACTTTGAATATTATTAATCGTCTTTCTTCCAATTACTCAATGGTAATCTAAATGTCACTATGTAATTATTACGTAACGTATCCACTCGATGAGTATTATATCATTATTGTAAATCATACTTATGTATATTAGTGTAGAGCCATGATGAAAAACTAATTGAAAAGCAACTTCTTCGCTCAATTCGTCCCTTCTTTATTTACAAAATTTTATTACGGCTTTTCTTCGGGATACTGACAAACTTAACAAATTCAAGATAGTCCTCATCAATAGATTCCAGGCCTTTCATGATCTACTCAATGGAGAGGGAACTACTATGGAGAGCAACTGGAAAGGGATCAAAGAAGCAATCACTTCAACATGTCATGAGGTTCTGGGCCACAAGAAGCACCATCACAAGGAATGGATCACTGTTGATACACTGAATGAGATTCAAGAAAGGAGGAACGAGAAGGCAGCAATCAATACTAGCCGAACAAGAGCAGAGAAAGCCAAGGCGCAAGGTGAGTACACAGAAGTAAACAGGCAGGTGAATAGGAGCATCAGAGCCGATAATTATATCTCATACAATCATTTCATAGATAGAAGACCAGCCATTTGTGTGAATAGGAGTGACAGAAATAATAAAGTCACTAAAATAATGTGTAAATCGATGTTTATGTAAATTACTGATCATCTATTAGATTAAAGATGGTAGAAACTCAAAGACAAACACATAAAAAATATCAGTATCAGTATTATTTTAATATTTAAATTCACAAGTCGATATAAGATAGACCACCATATTGAAGACCTGGAAGTCACTGATAAAAGTGCATAGAAAGTTTAAAAGAAAACAACAACATCTGATTGTATTAGAATAACATGTTTCATAAACAGAATTTCCAACAATGATTTCCAACACCCCCAAATGCCCTGGTATGGCCGAGAGTGGAGTAGGCCCGCCCTCCCTCTCAAAATGCCCTCACACGGCCACACGTATACAGCCTCTGCCAGGGAAGTCCTACTCACTGCCTTCTCGTGGCGGGGGTATTATTTACGAAAATAAGAGGATGAAAAGCGAATGTACGGCGCTTTAACCGGATCCCAAACCAATGGTGCACATGGGCTCCAGTATCCTGGGAGAACGAATGGCATATGAACCAATCGTTGGTCACCGGCTACCATGGGACTACATCTCCTTACGATGCTCCACTGTCTTGTGGACCAGACCTTCAGGTAGAAGGCTCGAGGAGTGGTCCCCCAAGAAAACCACCTGTTTCGGTCTGGGCACCCGGGTTGTATCACAGCCCACACACACAAAAATATGGTGTGGCACATATATATTTGGTGCCCTCTTGTACCAATATTTATTTGTTGAAATAAATAAATAACTAATAAATTTCCAACAAAAAGTAGGCTGAATAGGGGTGTGATAAAAATTGCTGTTACCAATTTTTTAATGACGTCTTAAAAATGGTCTTAATATTACTAACAACAACAACAACAATTGACACCGTCACTTTTATTATCACCTAGCTAATTTGACTTTTTTGATGATAATATAAAGATGTCTTCTAAAATTATTTATAGATAACTAACCTTTCGTTATGTTATTTCCCTGTTTTTATCAATTCGTTTGACATCTTTCACGCATTTAATTATCTCTGTTGTTGTTGTTGTTGTCGTTGTTGTTCAACAGTGATCTTCCTTCATAGATGTTTTAAGAGTATTGTGTTTATTGTTTGCACCATATTTGGCTAAAATTCCAAGAACCGGTTGATTATATAACATAGAAGTAGTTTGATCTAGATTAAATTTCGAATGTGGTGGTACGGATAGGAATCTGGGTGTGGAATTTCTTAAATTTATTTTTTGATGAATTTCACTGTCATTTTTATTGTTTGTTAATGTTGTATTCATTGAATTCTCATGTTGATGTATATTATAATCGTTGAATTTCGATAAATTATTCATCTTACTGTAATACATAAGTTAGATCAAAAAAATGTGAAAAGAGTAAAATGAAAGATTGCATGAAATTTAAGCAAATCGTTTTTGATAATCATGAAAAAGAATTATGTTAGATGCGCACTGCTGAGGAGTCCCACAATAGGATGGAATGGCTGTCCAGTGCTTCCAGGTTATCAATGGTGATCTAACATCAATCAGTTCACGATCTCAATCAAAAACGCAATAATCTCCACAACCCTATACTGATAATTACCATGTGCTCACTAGTGACTAGCTTCGTGAGGGAATTCTCGGAATCCTAATAAGAAGCCATGACCAGTGGAGCTAATCCGCGTGGGGTAGAGACAGGTATCTACCTCAGTACAATGGAAAATAGTCGCAAAATCTTGTGAATTAGATGAGAGTAGACAATAACACTATTGGATGCCGGCCGGTTCAGTGGTCTAGAGGTTAACCATTTACGTGCGAGACTAAAGGCCCTGGGTTCGAATCAAGCGAGCTGGATCAAGGATGCGCACTGCCGAGGAGTCACACAATAGAACGCAATGGCCATCCAGTGCTTCCAGGTTTTCTATGGTGTTCTAGCATTAATTGAGTCATGAATTCAACTACAAAACTACTAAAATCTCCACAAAACCCCTTCTGATAATAATTACAGTTCATTATATATTCTGTTGTATTGAAATTGTTGTTAGAATGTGACTAGCAAAAGACAGTTTCAGGTCACCGAAAATGGCTTAATTCCAATAAAGTATTTGTAGTGAAAATGTAATGATATATAAAAAATTTGTCTCCATTTGTTTTGATTTTAGTTCAAAATAAAACAATTGTACATGAAGTCAACATTGTAGGTTATATTTTTTCACCTCATTGCAATGGATTCGAAATACTTGAATAGTAATAAGGGCCCAGACATTTTAGCAAAGATTGGTTACACGTTCAAAAATAAGAAATAAATTAAAAACTCGAATATTTAGAGATGTACAGAGAAGGGTAGGTTGCAGTGTTATGCGGTGTATGAACAGTCAGTGGATTACAATTACGTTTCGGATAAAGCTAAGGGAGATGAGAAATACTCAATCTATATGTTTAAATATCGAGCAGCTTGATTAACAGATGCAACTACATTGAAAACCGGTTTATCATACCCAGATCAAATTCCAGTTGTTAGTCAAATTAAACATCATTCTCGGCGCATACAACATGACAATCACACACCCTTGCTAAATCCAATTTCCTTGAAATCAGTTATCAAACTCTTGATATGTTGGGAATCCAACAAACACAAACACTGTGCGAAGAAAGTCCCCGTCCGAGCAGACGTTGTCCTCCAACATAAAGAACAACGAAATACAATCTCATCACGATTGTCTGCACACTTTACAGCATTCATTTGATAACCGCAATCTCATGTACAGGAACTTCTTAGTAGCCGCTCAATAATCACCTCTTTAAATTCCGCTGTAAACCGATCGTATGTGAGCATCAGGCGTTAAACTTGGCTCCGTGACCCTGAAGTTGCCCAAACTCTTCTGATTAGCTCGTCCATAAATTAGAGTATCACCTTAATCCCAGTCCAAATAACTAAATTGTAACAGTTCTAACAGCAACAGTATTTGTTATCGAGTAGAATTCTATAAGAAGTGTCAGTTCTTACAAGATTCCAGACATATCTTACGGATTAATATCTAAATCTATGGATTTGCCCCAATCAACTCTAACAATATACATTGTTGTGATTGCAATGGATGAGAGTGGAGCAGTCCAAAATTACATGCTGCAATAAGAAAAATTGTTTCAAAATAAAATAGCCTACCGTTTCAACAAATTTAACATTAATTAGTTACATTTGGATGTGATTATTGCTATGGCTTTATATCAGTGATATAGCAAATTTATTAAGCTTAGAAACAATGACCACTGGATTTTGAGTCAGTAGTTGAAATAGTTTAACTGCTATTATGAGAATTATAAATCCCTTTTTTTATTCTGGAAAACATCATCAAGAATTATAATGAGAGCCAATATAATTGTACAGAACAACAATAAAAGGATTACATTTGAATTATATTGCCCCTTGGAATACAACACTATTAGCAGAATTCTAATGTGTTGCATATCTTCATTTCATTGTTATTCATATAGTTACATCTTAATTTCTATCAGTTAATCACCACTTAGTCAATAATTAAAATAACGTAAATTTGTTTACAATTGAACTGAAATGACCAAACTGATGGTCCTCCTAAAAGTACAGCTGTAATCTCCAAAATGAAAAAAATTTCAACAAACGCCTAATTACATCTGATAATGAAGATCACACAAAAAAATAGCCAATAATATTATTAACATCTGTTTCTTATGACAAAAAAATCTCCAAAAAACCCCTTCTGATAATAATCATCTGCTCACTAGTGACTGAGTTCAAGAGTTACTCTTGGAGTTTTAGTGAGAAGCCGTTACCAGTGGAGTACAACCAGATCTGTTGTGAGATATCAACTCACTGATGACAATGATGTACAGTGGCGCAATTTAGTGGATTAGTTGAAGTTAGACATTAACACAGTTGGATGCCGGCTCAGTGGTCTGATGGTTAAGTACTCGCGCACGAGACTGATAGGTCATGGGTTTGAATCTCGCAGGTAGCTGGATCGTGGATGCGCACTGCTGAGGAGTCCCATACTAAGATGGAACGACCGTCCAGTGCTTCCAGATTTTCCATGGTGATCTAGCTTCAATTGACTCATGATTTCAATCAGTGAAATTTCTAATAATCTTCACAAAACCCTTTCTCAAAAAATTGAATTATTATGTAACTTACTTTGCATTATCTTCTATAATCTTATCATTACCATTATCAAATAAATGAAAATTTAAATCTGTACAATTTTTATTATTAAAAGAATTTTCTTTTTCTTGATTATTAAAAGATTCACATTTTTGTTTAGAATTTTTTAAAAGTGATAATTCATGAGATTTGTACAGATTCATTGAATTCGATCTGGAATGTTGAAGTCGTTGTTGTTGTTGTTGTTGTTCCTGTTGTTGATCCAATTGATGACGATGATGTTGTTGTTGTTCCTGTTGTTGATCCAATTGATGACGATGATGTTGTTGTTGTTGTTGTTGTTGAGATGCTGGTGATAATAACTGTTCTATATCATTTAAAATATGTCTTATACTTGATTTGATATAATCCGGTTTATTATAAGTATTCTTATCATTGAAATGATTCATATCAATTGTTTCACTGAATGCTCTTGTTCTTCTAGATAATTGATTTAATACATTTTCATTAGATAAATTAAATGTCACTTTAGATAATCGATTTTTATTAGTAAATAATGATGAAGAATAACAATTATGTAATGAATGGTTACTATTTATTGTAGTTGATTTATTTAATTGTTCTATACCGGCAAGTATACGATATTTTTCAACTTGATTTTCTAATGCTTCAATTCTATCAGTTAATTGACACACTTTCATAACACCTTGATTTTTTACCTAAAGATACAATTGATGCAATAAATAAGATATGATGATTATATTAAAGATCAGTAATGTTTTTTTTTCTTAAAAACTGAATATAATTCATAAGCAAAGATGGATAGTGACTAACAGTGGAATCCAGTTTGATGCGTGTTTCGTCCTGTTTAGAACTCGTCAGCTGGGTGTACCTGCATCTCAGAGAGTTGATGTTCATTCTGGGACTCGAATTCAGTACAGTTCGTTTCAAACTCCATCGTGTTATCCACTTAGATACTGAGACCTGATAGCCACTTGCTTGTGCAATGGGGTGAAGTTTAATGTGTACTTGGTCTATGTATGTTTGTATACTTTCTTGACTGACCGATTTTTTATCCTCTTACGTAGCACATATTTTACACGTAATTTTTATTTACATATAATAACAATCTATTCCAAGTAGCCATGTTTCAGATTATAAACTGATATTAACCGAACAATTAATAGAAACCAGATAGCATTGAGTAGATGTTTCTTTCCTGCTAGTACACACTCATGACAGTCACAAATGATACAACCTGAAACCTTTATATCCCGTAGTGATATCTCTGTCTTTAGATTTATAAGTCAATATCCAGTGATCGACATTTTTCACTTCACTCATTTCTCAGTATTACGCTACCATAATCGTTTACCACTGAATCTTGAAGTTATGACTTCTTATTAGTCATATGTGGTCATAAGGTTAAGTACTGTTTTATTTCTCACTGAATAGCTAATGTCTTGTAGTTGAATGCCTAACTTGGTTATAAGTATATACTCATTAAGATTCTCAATATAGAATAAAATGATTTTCTAATACTCTTTCAATTTCAATGTTTACTTAGTAACAATATAATCTGTAGTGGTAGAATCTACATCCCAAATATTACTACTTTGTTTAATCTAATTCATGACATTTAATAGACTAACATTAGATATCCTGTCTAGTGTTAATTAAATAATGAGATTTATTGAATAAGTCTATTACAGTGTTTAACTTATTGAATTTTCAAATCTCGTATTATAAATGTGAAGTTGATGTGTATACAGAATTGAAGGTTTCATGCGAGAAATCATAAAGGAACTAAAAGTATCAAAATTTAAAGAACCGTAAAAGTGGCAGTTACTATTACTCAGTAATTTAGTAAAACCAGTTATAGTATTCTAGTTGATATTATCTGTATTCGAATATTAATACGGACTGATATTATACGACCGCAATCCTATAAAACTACAGGCCAAATAGCTTGGAATGGTCTTTTATTTTGGATAATATTAATGCTCCATTACGATCGAATGATAATGATGTTAACAGAATAATTATCCTGCTTAACTTTATATGCCTTTAAAGACGTATTCATGGGATTCAACAAAGGAATAATACCAGATTTTTGAATGCAAATATTTAATAAATTCTGCTCCAAATACCCTGGCACGGCCGAGAGTGGTGAGAGTCCGCTCTCCTTCTCGAAATGCTCCCACACGGCTACGCGTATATAGCCTCTGCCAGGGAAGTCCTACTCACTGCCTTCTCGAACCAATTGTTGGTTACTGGCTTCCATGGGACTGCATCTCCTTACGATGCTCCACTGCCTTGTGGATCAGACCTTCAGGTAGAAGGCTCGGGGGGTGGTCCCCTAAGAAAACCACCTGCTTAGGTTTGGGCACCCGGGCAGTATCACAGCCCTCACACATATCGAGTGAGGTTTGTGTGGCGCATATGTATTCGGTGCCTCTTTGTACCAATATATATGTGTTGAAATAAATGAAAATAATAATAATCAGTTCAAATAGATGATATATAAAGAATGCAAATTGATAAAGGCGAAACATGGCTGCTTGGAATAGATTGTTATTATATGTAAATAAAAATTACGTGTAAAATATGTGTTACGTAAGTGGATAGAAAATCGGTCAGTCAAGAAAGTATACAAACATACATAGACCAAGCACACATCTAATTACCAATAGTGAATAAGAGTATATTTCTGAAAATAGACGCAGAGTAAGTTAGTAAGTAAACAAGAATAACTACTCGTCCACCTGATATAGTCAAAAAAACATTAGAATTAAACACTCAAATATCAGAAGATAGTTTCTAATCACTGATTGACATCAGCTAGAAAACTGTCAGGAAATAGAAAGAACGAAATAAATTTATATTATCCAATATCCAAATTTTTTGTTGTTATACACTCACAGTGCAACTAGCTATTGAATTTAATATCGTCAAATTTTATTATGATCACATTACATTCAAACAATTAAGTCGAAATAAGTTGATAAAGTACGCAGGAAGAAATAAAGAAAGAATAGAAGTTAGATGGTGGTTGGAGGTAGTCGACAGGAAACCCTGGACACAGGTTTCGTACAATTTAGCACTCGTCAGCAAGGTGTACCTGTAATCTTGAGGGAACTGGTGCTCCTTGACGGACTCAATCCAGTGTCACCCAGATTTACAGTCAGAGACGTTACCACTGAGCTATCCGAGCCGCGACCGACCTCCTGTAGGACTGAGATGTAGTCACAATTGATTGATCACTGGATGGCGATCAATGTCATGCATGTTTAGTCCTTATTAGTGCAGATCGAATGCTATCGATCATGTTGAAAGAATAGAAGTCTTTATAATAGATATGCATTCTAGCCTTATGGATACATTCGTTGCCATTCAGTGATCTGAGTATTTAGTAGAATGAATTAATTAATTTCAGTTTCTTGAATAGCAACATCATATAGTAAAGTTTGACATTAACCCATTTACAACAGAATAAGGACATTTCAGAGAAGAAACTGTACTCTTCAATGATTTCATCTTCTTAAGCTGTACATTCATATTTAAGGGTAGTTTTTACACGTAGTAATCTATAAGAAAATAGAGGAGTTTTGAAAAACAGTGATCGAATATAGTCAAACTTATTCAATTACATGTCAATGGAACTGAAGTGTTGTTGCATAATATAATGTCAAGACTACCAAAAATTACTAAATTTCTCTCATAGTCCATTTGAATTTTACAAATCCGAAGTACTAATTGTTACCTTCTCCTTTTTTGAAAGTGAAAAATTTCTTACCTCATTTTGCTTCCGAAACTATTACAAAATGTAAGCTCTTGATGATTTTATCGGCTTCATTAAATAACTCAACCCAAATTTTTTATTCAGCACTTGAAAACATAAATTCTACTGACATAAAACCATTCCATTTATAGATTGACATTAATTACATAGCAGTTAAGATTTCCTACCCTCTGTTGATGATTAAAAAATTTTGAAATGGGTGATTAGTAAACTTATTTTAGAAAGCCTGTGTTCGTATGATGATGAACAAACATTTTTCTAAAATCCACTTGGTGTTGTTTGCTTGTATCTTCCCATTCTTGTTAAGGCCTGTAATTGATCAGTCTCTTGTTGACGTATATGCATCATGTTCGTAAACGGGCGTCCTGCATTCCATTATTAGCCACCATCTATCTTTCCTGACAAACATTTTGTCACCTGTAATAATTTGTTAATTGGCTGTAAACTGTGCATCTATGTAATCTGATTAGTTCAAATCCAAGTAGCATTAAGTGGTTTGATTGAATGTGAGAATTTACATGTTTACATTTGAATTTTATTTTGAGTAAATAATTCTGTCTGACTGTTCCATCCGAGTTTTGATAAAAGTTTCGACTTCTGAAAAAAGTAGACACCAATTCTATTTGACTACCCTTCCATACTCCAGTCTGTGAATATATATCGGGATCAACTGTTTTTGTGGATATTACAGTAGTTTCAATGGTTGAGATCATAAGTAAATTGGAGCTAGACCACCATGGAAAACCTGTGAGCACTGGAAAGCCGTTTCGTCCTATTGTGGGGCTCTTCAACAGTGCGCACCCACGACCCCGCCTCATGAGATCCGAACCCAGGACCTATCAGTCTCACTCACGAACGCTTAAACTTTAGACCACTGAGCCGGCCGACATTAAACGGTTTTAATGTCTAACTTCAACCAAATAATATTTATGACTGCGATTTCGTCAACAGTGATTCATAATAGAAAAGAGTTGCTGGATTTCCCTGTGAAAACGGTTTCGTTAATAAATGCAAGATTGTAATTGCGTTATATTGCAAATTCATTATAAGTGAAAATTGTTTTCAACTGTACATTGTCCATTCTATGTTGTTGAGTAGTATATAATTCTGACGAAAAAAGATACTTTTCTGTGTATGTAGTAATTTAGATCAGTTATTGTGTTTGGGAATTGTGTGGTAGGTTTATTTTACGTAATGTCAATAGCAAATGTTTTGTAAGTATGCAGTCTGATCAAATCATTGTCTGAATTTTTTTTGATGTTATTTGTAAATGACATCACATACATTATTTATTTAGAAATTCTGAAATCATTTTTCAAATCATGGGTTTTCTTTGTTGAACATACTAGACGTTAGTTAGATAGTTAAGACTTCTCGTCTGTTGGATCAACGACATTGTAACATCCATGGAATTGGAGGCTTCTATCTGAAACTCAGTTGCTGGAGATAACATCAATGGTGTTGGAGGCATCGTTCCATAAACCATTTGATGAGCGGAGTTATAGAAAACACTGCATTGTCCTTCAGACATAAGTCCTACTAAGGAATACGATGCTTTTTTGATGCTTGGCTGTCCTACTTAGACAGGGATGTAATTGCCAATAACTACGCTGGTGAGGTAGCTGTCCGACAGTAATTTCCTGCCACTAATTACTTCAGTGTTCACTTTTGAATCAGTGCATGTACAGTAGGCCAACACATGACGGTACGGCAATCCGGTTTCAATAGAAAAACTACACGAACAATTAATGGGATTTCGGGATACCGTGTAAGTGCCAGTAACGTCAACAGTCGTGGACACGTCTACTGACGTTATGACTTCTGTCACAGGAATGCACAGGTGACGCTTCAATAAATGACAGGCAGCAGGTGTAATTTTTTCTTGAAGACGACTTGTTTGCCACTCCCGACCGATATTTGTTCTGTTGCGACAATCAGTTGTGTATTTCTAAACTCGCACTTCCATCCAATGTCCATTCCGAAGAAGCACACTGAATATAGAACTGAGCACAGAGGTTTTCCTATTGGGCTTGTGAAGCTTCAAGATTTGATGAGTTGTCCCAACGAAGTTCGTATTGTTTTGTTGAAGCAGTGTCTCAGCCGGACTAAAAGCGTTTGACAACTTGTGTTTCTTCAGCAACAAATAATCTCATATATCGGTAGAACGTTCAGTCTGATGCTTCAATAAACGAAAGATAGCTTATAAAGTACAAAAAACTGTAAGGCATAAAGATGTTTATTATCCTTTCTATGTGTCGAGTGAACATCAGACAGAAGAACAGTTGTATAATTTCAGATCGCTTCTTTTACAATCAATGAACAACTTACCCTCTTTATGACATTGCAAATGAGGTGTAAGCGACACAAAATATGGTGAAAGTTTGGATACACTATATGCTGTAGCAGCAGCTGTTGCAGGTGATTCATCTGTGACAACACCAGTCAACTCACGTTTGTTAGTTGAGCGCCTGAAGAATGACAGGAATTGCGACAGCGAAGCCGACGTTTCACGAATTATAAAGGCAATTTGAACAGCTATGGCCATAAATTCACATCGAATGCAACTACTCGATATGAATATAAATTTTCGTTTTTTTGCTTTTGTAGGTCCCGTCAAAACCAATATAAACAAGAAAACGCGTTTTCAAACTCACCCAATTGGCATTTGCGAAGAAGAAATGCAGAAGACAGTTTTCTTCACAAAACTCATCAAGCAACATGATGTGAGCTTTCAATTTTGCGTAGTCACCTAACGTTCACAATATAAATAGGCACATTGCTCACTAGGAAGTTTGGCCTGTGAGAGCACTTTGTGGAGCATGATAAAAACACCTCGGACATTCAGGCGTTCTCCATAAGATTGGTAAGAGAAATGCACAATATTGAATTCTGCTGTCCCCGAAATTAGAAGTGATCGCATCGTTTCAAATTCAGCGTCCGTTAACCTGCGCATCCAACAATTATTGTTGTAGCCCGTAGAGTTGCACTCATGATTGTGATGCACATTCCCACGAACACTAATCCAGTAAATTTCAGTAAACTTACAAAAAATCAAGGCCGAACACTCATTGTTGATTGCGGTCCTTCGTGAACGAGATAATAACACTAAGTAAATTACCTCCTTCGTCTAATCGGCTGTGACGCTCCGCTAATTGTTCTACGGCCATTTCTACAACATACAAATTTAATATACAGCTTCTGATCCCCATGGAAGTGAGAACCTTGCACGTCATAATGAAAGTACGTCATTGTTTCATAAATTCTGATGGCGTTCTTTAACGCTTCAAGTGATTGGAACGCTACCAGATACAATGTATTCAAGAACATGTTATCTGCGTCAGTGACAACGTGAGAAACGACAGAGCTTGTACTTTGTACTTTATTATCGTCCACAATTTGAGGAAAAGCTACTCTGTCGACGAGTACTTACATTGTATATCAAGTTTAAGAAATAAATAACCAATTATTCAGAATTTAAAACTAGTCATTTAATTGGACGAAACGGAATGGAAGAAAAAATGAATCCAATTATCAAAATTACTAAAATCCCCCCCTCCATTCTGACCATAATCTCCACTGTATTATGCAACAACACTTCAGTTCCATTATTGACATGTACTTGAATAAGTTTGACCATATTCGATCTTTGTTTTTCAAAACTCCCCTATTTTCTTATAGATTACTACGTGTAAAAACTACCTTTAAATATGAATGTACAAGTTGAGAAAATGAAATCATTGAAGAGTACAGTTTCTTCTCTGAAATGTTCAAACTCTTTTCGTTTTTGATGAATAAATGGGTTTCTTTCCTGTTATAATAAGTTAAGAGTTCAAACAAATATTATTCGAAGTTATCCAGTTCAATTAAATCTGTAATAGAGAGTTTAATTATAAAAATGTTTTACAATTTAACAAAATAAGTATCTCAAATGACTGAATAGAATTTCTCAACAATTACATCATAATTAAATTGTTGAGAAGAGTCAGTTAAAGCTAGACAACCATGGAAAACCTGTAAGCACTGGACGGCTGTTTCATACTATTGTGGGATATCTCAGCAGTGCACACCCACGATCCCGTCTCGCGAGATTCAAACCCAGAACCTATCAGTCTCGCGCCTGGCGCTTAACCAACTAGAACACTGAGTCATCATCCAACGGTGTTAATGTCGAACTCCAACCGATCCACGAAATTGCGACACCGTAAACCATTGTCTTCAGTGAGTTACTGTCTCACACTAGAACTCCTGGATCTACATCTTGAAGCCAACCACTAGTCAGCATATGTTGATTATTATCAGAAGGGGGTTTTGTGAAGATTTTAGTAATTTCAGTGGTTTAGATCATGAATCAATTGAAGCTTGACGACCATGGAAAACCTGGAAGCACTGGACGGCCGTTTCATCCTATTGTGGGACTCCTCAGCATAAACTATCTGTATTTCATTAGAAAAAAGAAAAAAAAACATTTTAATGATAAAGATGTTTACCTTGAATAATTGTAATTCATGTTCTCTTGTTACTCGATCTAATTCATATTGAAATTCTTTATGAAGATTTATTATATGATTATAAATAGTCATTTGAAATTGTTTATATTCATCAATTTGTTGTTGTTCTTGTACTGATTGTTGCTGATTATCATTTGCATTCATTGAACTATTGATAACAGTTGTACTTTCTTGTACATTATTACCACTCCATACATAATCCATATTAAGCTTCATGATATTAAGAAAATATAGTGAAAGGAAAGTACCACATATTTCTTATCATTATCAGTTAAATTTAAAAATAACAAAGCTACGTAGACGACACCTTTGTCATCGTCAAAAAGGATGAACTGGAAAACACATACAAACTGATCAACAACGTTTTCAACGACATCAAGTTTACAATGGAACAGGAGTCAAACAACCAACTAGCATTCTTGGATATATTGATCACTAGAACCGATACAGGAAAACTGGAGACTCAAGTATATAGGAAACCGACCCATACAGATCAAATCCTCAATTACAACAGCAACAACCCAAGAGCTCACAAAATCAACTGCGTACACACATTGTTCAAGAGGGCGAGGACACACTGCAGCACACTGGCAGCACGAAAAAATGAAGAGAAACACCTGAAGGACATATTTCAAAAGAACGGCTACCCAATCAACTTCATCAAAAGCACCAACGGCACACAGCATCAGAACCCAAATCAAGCACAAAAATCAACAAAAGGATCACCCTACCGTACATACAAGGAATATCAGAAACCGCAACGAGACTGCTGAAAACCTTCGGGATAGGTGTGGCACACAAACCAACAAAATCATTACAATCAATCCTATGCAAACCAAAAGATGAAATAACAAAGGAAAACAAATCAAACATCATCTACAAAATAAATTGTACCAACTGCGACAAACACTACATCGGACAAAGCGGACGCCCCCTCCACCTACGCCTACATGAACATCAATTAGCAGTCAAACGCCATGATATCTCTTCACTTATATCAATAAACGTGGATAACTACGGACATTCATTCGATTGGGAAAATGTAGAAATCTTAGACAGAGGAAACTCCAAAAACACCAGAGAATTTTTAGAAGCTTGGCACTCAGGTCAATCAGCAATCAACAAACATATTGAAATCAATCCAATTTATCAACCAATCAGGAAAATCATGCATAAATATAGGAACAAAAATCAAACCAATGGGAGACACAACCAAAACAAAGAAGTAAACAATGATAAATTTAAGGTCAACAAGAACCAATCAACATCGAGGTGCACAGAACAAGCTGTGAAACACATATGGAGAAATTCGAACACTTCACTTCTATCTGAAGTTTGTGCTGATGATGTCGTTCAGAAGAACGATGAAAGCTCCACGACCAAACCATCCAGCTCAGAGAACAAAACTCCACCAAAATAAAAATAACAAAGATCAAGATTTATAAATTTATGTTTAAATCACGTTAGTTATTGACAAGGGTTTTTGTAGATATTATAGTCATTTCAATGGTTGAGATCATGAGTCTATTGAAGGTAGATCACCATGGAAAACCTGGAAGCACTGGACGAACGTTTCGTCCTATTGTGTGATTCCTCAGCACTGCGCATCCACGATCCCGTCTCGTGAGATTCAAAACCAGGACCTATCAGTCTCGCGCGCGAGCGCTTTATCTCTAAACCACTGAGTTGGCCGGCATCCAACGGTATTAATGCTGAACTTCAAACAATTCACGAAATTGAGCGACGCTGATAAGTTTTGGGTTTAAATCTCGAGAGACGGATCGTGGGTGTGCACTGCTGAGATGTCCCACAATACGATGAAACAGCCGTCCATTGCTTCCAGGTTTTCCATGACGGTCTGGCTTCAATGGACTCATGATCTAAACCATTTAGTCATACTTTATTCATTCTGTTAAAGTGCATGATAAAATACCATCTGTCATTGGCCGGAAAACAAGAAAACAGAGGATATATATGAAGTGAGCTAATGAAACACTTAGTGAAAATCGTTTATTCGATCAAAACAAACTCATTATGTATAGAGTTAATAGGAATCTATCAAAGACTGCATACTTTTCTTTTGTTTTCATTGTTGAAATGCATTACTATCAACACCAATAATTTTGAATTATGTCCACAAAGAACAAATTCAATCTTTGCTGCTACCATAATTGATATTATCTGTGCTTAGAACCCACCTCTGCTTCACAGCCAGAAAAGCTTTAGTAAAGTATATGTATGCTGATATTCACCACTCGTAATAAACTGTTATTCTCAAAACCACAATTCAATGGAGATGTGACTAGCGATATCCTAAATGAGAGATTAGAAAGACCAATTAAAAGGATATTCTACGCAGCCAACGTTTTGTTGACATTTTTTCTCTTGGCCAGATATGATTGAATAAACTATTTTATTATTTTGTTTGATATCCTGTATTTGTTTCCCACTTTCCGCCTCTTTCCGTTCATATTCTATTATTTACATACTTATTTTGTTAGATAATTGGATAATGTTTTATGATCATTATGCTCGCGCGCGTGACTGATAGGTCATGGGTTTAAACGTGGGTGCGCACTGCTGAGGAGTCTCATACAAAGATGAAACGGCTGTCCAGTGCTTCCAGATTTTCCATGGTGATCTAGCTTCAACTGACTCATGATTTCAATCAATGAAATTTCTAAAACTCTCCACAAAACTCATTCTGTTTTATATCTGTCAAGAAGACAATTATCTCCCACACATTTAATTTCGTTATATTATTATTATTATTTCCAAATTCTCAGTCATTAGGCAACTTTCTTTTACAACCGATATGAGGCCATCATCCTCTTCACTTTCAAAATAGACTTTTTATTTGTGAATTAACTATAAATGTAAAAGTACAATAGACATTTCAAATTCTTTTTATCACACTAAAACTGATACTACGTCACGTTACCGACAATAAAATTTCCTGTAATGTCGTCATCTTTGAATAATTAACTTTAATAAAAGGTCAAGTGGAAACTATACAGTTCACTAAAATTAGATGGTGGTTGGAGGTAGTCGACAGGAAACCCTGGACACAGGTTTCGTACAATTCGGCACTCGTCAGCAAGGTGTACCTGTAATCTTGAGGGAACTGGTGCTCCTTGACGGACTCAATCCAGTGTCACCCAGCTTTACAGTCAGAGACGTTACCACTGAGCTATCCGAGCCGCGACCGACCTCCTGTAGGACTGAGATGTAGTCACAATTGATTGATCACTGGATGGCGATCAATGTCATGCATGTTTAGTCCTTATTAGTGCAGATCGAATGCTATCGACCATGTTGCCTGAACTGCTGACATCAGATTGGCAATCATTCAATATTAATCGTCACAATCAGTTAAAGAAATAAGAAAAAGAAATTTGTTGAAATATTTTGTGCTTAGAACTCTATATTGTACCAAAAATATAATACTGAATAAAGTCATTAGTAATAATAATAATAATAACTCGTTATCCATTGAAAATCAAACTTTCAAATAGCCAAAACATGCCATTCACATGCTGATGATATGCATCGATTCGAATGGTTACACACCATTATAAAACAAAGACAAAGAAATTTAACAAAACAGAAAGTTAATATCAGAATGTGTTTTGTGGAGATTTTTAGAAATTTTCACAGATTGAACTCATGAGTCAGTTGAAGCTAGACCACCATTGAAAACCTGGAAGCACTGGACGGCCGTTTCGTCCTTCCATTTGACTCCTCAGCAGTGCGCATCCACGACCCCGCACCACCCGGGGCTCGAACCCAGGACCTACTGGCTCCGCGCGCGAGCACTTAACCATTAGACCACTGAGCCGGCAACTATGTGGGTTGGTTGAAGTTAGACATTAACATAGTTGGGTGCCGGCTCAGTAGTCTAATGGTTAAGTGCTCGCGCGCGGAGCCAGTAGGTCCTGGGTTCGAGCCCCGGGTGGTGCGGTGTCGTGGATGCACACTGCTGAGGAGTCAAATGGAAGGACGAAACGGCCGTCCAGTGCTTCCAGGTTTTCAATGGTGGTCTAGCTTCAACTGACTCATGAGTTCAATCTGAGAAAGTTAATACGTAAAAATATTAGTTGTAAACAATCAATAGAGTTCAACAAATAAAACATTTGACTCAAAAAAAAAGAATGAATTAAATCTAAGCATGAACATTTCGAGGGTAACAAACAATGAATTACTCTGTACCAATTTAATTGATTTTGATCTAAACCATCTCAGCTATTCAATTACAGATTACAATCATTTTACTTATCTCAAATATAAACATTTTATGTATTGATATATAGTTTTTATGTAAGCGTCTTGATCGTCTACAACTTCTAATATATTTAAAAGATTGATTTAAATAGAGATTCAAATGAACTATAAATGTTCATGTTATAACTTGTGATTTTGTACCCTTGGTTCTTTGTTTTTCACTCTGTCACCAATTTTTATAAAGCTCGGTTTTTACTTCATCTAATGTTATAACGGTTGGGTTTCTACGTTTACACGAATAGGACGAATATCTACAATAGATTCCCTCCTATTGTCTATTTTACAGGACGTCAACACAACTCAGATCAAGAACACGTGATTAGCCTGACCACAACATAAATATATTTCCACACCAAAAACCTGACACAATCCAACAACAATGAACAATCAATAATAAGTAAGTAACGACAATAATAAGGATAGGGGAATATATATCTCATCTGACAACTATCAAACTATCTATGTATCTGACTAAGCAGACAACCAATCATTATCATTCTTGCCCACACATCAGTTCATTTATGCGTAGACAAGATCATTTCATTGAAGGTAAAAGGAAGAATGGGAATGTAATACAAATTTAAAATACATGTAATTACTTCAAATCACGCTTTTGTGTTCAATGCTTGAATTCTGCTTCGATTTGATTTATTTCACGAATTTTCACTTAGAACGTATTCTCTAACTTTTTGGTACACCTAATGATACCACGATATTATCCATAGACCAATATATAATGAGTTAATAATCAGTGACTAAATGCGATTGTAGATTGGGACAGGAACTAATAGTTTGCGAAATCAAAAGATCGATTCCAACACAATGACTAACTTTACCAACAAAATAATGTAGTAGTGAATTAGATATTTCACTGATTCACTGCTACACCGTTATTTACGTCCATTGTATAATAATTTACAAAATTATTTTCTTATAACTGATAGTAAACTATTGGACCATGGTATAGTAATCAAGTGCTAGTTATTAACCATAAAGTATCTGATACAATTAACCAGTTAATGAAAACAGCGCTTTAGCAGGATGTTACATTTAACTTGTTCCTAAATAACTAGAATTAGATAACAAACAACGTTTCATGTATAAGAAGCACGTTGGTGGTTTTTGTGACAGTCAAACTCAACGACGTAAGATATTTTATTAAAAAGAGATAACTTTACTAGACGCTACGGATAGAAGTAAAACATGAACACAGGTAGCTACTAAAACAACCCGCCAATATCTGCCAATAAGAAAAATTATGTAATTTATGTAATGCGATGAAAACACAGATCATCAAATAGGATGAAGCTTACTTACGTCCGTTACCCCTCGTGGAGGAGCATACACAGCTCACAAGCGTTCTCCATTCAACTCAATCCTGGGCAATACTCTCCAGTGATTTTTCAGTTGCTATTCATTCTTTTGATATCTGCTTCCAATTTTCGACACAATGTGTTCGTTGGTCTTCCTCTTCTCTGTTTCCCTTTACGATTCCAAGTTAACGCTTGCATTGTGATTCAGTTTGGTGATTTCTTTATTGTATGTCTTATGGATTTCCCACATCCTTTGCTAATTTCTTCTTCACTTGGAAGCTGGTTTGTTCTCCCCAATAGTAGGTTGTTACTAGTGGTATCCTGTCAACGGGAATTGATTACTTTGCGTAGACAATTGTTTATAAATGCATGTATTACTTTAATGATGGCTGTGGTAGTTCTCCAAGTTCCAGCTCTGTACAGTAGAACTGTCTCGACGTTCGTGTTGGAGATTCTGACTTGATCCTGACTTGGTTGTCAGTTGTTTCGAGTTTCATGTGTTCTGAAACTGTAGAACTGCTTCCCTCGGTTTGCCAGTCTTCGCCTTTATGTCTGCATCCGATCCTCCTTGCTCATCAATGATGCTGTCCAGGAATAAGGATGTTTCCACCTCTTTCACAGCTTCTCCATCAAGTGTGTCTAGGTTTGTATTCTCAGTGTTGTATTTGAGGATCTTGGTTTCTCCCCTGTGTGCGTTGAGGCCTACTGATGCAGAAGCTTCTGCTACACCAGCTATCTTCACTCACACTTGTTCGTGTGTATGTGATAGAAGGGTCAGGTTATCTGAGAAGTTCAAATCGTCTAGCTGCATTCATACTGTCCATTGTATTCCCTGCTTCCCCTCAGATGTAAAAATCTTCATTATCCAATCAACCATCAGAAGAAGGAGAAAGGAAGAGAGTAAGCACACTTTTCTGAATCCACAATGTTGAACGCCCTCCCATAGTCAAGAAAGTTGGTGTAAAGTGACGAGTTCAACTCAAATGATTGCTCAACAACGATCCGTAGTGTCGTGATTTGGTTTGAGCACAACTCATTGTTACGAAATCCGGTCTGTTGATCTCGAATTTGCATGTCTACCGAAAATCTCATTTTGTTTAGCAACACTCTGTTGAAAACGTTTACGCGTACTGGTAGCAGTGTGGTGACTCTGCGATTCTCACATTTGCGGAGATCTCCATTTTTTTCCGGTATCTTGATAAACTGTCATTATTTTCATTCTGTCAGTGCTTCAAATTCTTCCCATATCCTCCTGAATAAAATGTGGAGCACGTTTGCGGATACTTCTATTTCTGACTGTAACGCTTCAGCTAGTATGTTCCCTGGTCCTTCTGCTTTCCCACACTTGACTTGTCTGATGGCCATCTTGATTTATTCGATTGTTGGTGTGGTGACATCTAAAGGAATGTGTATGTGTTGCTTCGATGTCCAGTGGGTTCAGTCTGGCTGGTCTATTCAAGAGTTCTTCACAATGCTATACCCACTTGTTCGACCGTTCTTTAATCTCAGTGATTGGCTTGCTTTATCTGTCTTTGACTGGTCGCTGTGGTTTACTATATTTCCCTGCTAGTTTTTTTGTTGAGTCATATAGTTGTCTTATATTTTCTTCTCTTATAGATTTTCCGCAGCAACTGCTAGGTCTTCTAATGATCCTGTTCATTCACCTGTTCGCGTCTGACTATTTGATCTGTTCCTTGGCTTTGTGTGGTAATTAGAATTATTCGAGCCGACGTACTAACTAAGAATTCACGAAACGATGTCATTTAGGGCTTGTAGAACAAGACGAGCACAAATAAACGGATTATATTTGGAATTCGCGATAATGATGAACGGGACACACAATGTCGAAATCATGAAACTGAACCATAGGCCAAACTCTAACTTGGAATCCTCAATAGGAAAAGAAAATAGATAGACTAAAGAACAAATGGAGCTTTGAATCAGAGGCAGACATCAATATCACCAATAGTAGTTGGTAACAACTAGAAAGTAGTGTCCTGAACATATTTGATTGGAGATCCCTCATCAGTTGGCTTTGATCATGTAAGTAAATAGGTCCTTTATTTGTTACCCGATCATAAATGAACAGAAAAAAATTCCCGGAATAGATAACACATCGAGAACGGTTTTTTCTCCGAGTTATTCATTTACATGGTAATGTTCAAAGTTCAGGCAATCTTTTGATTGTATTCAATTCATCAATAAACGTGTAGTGAGCATCCAGTCATGTCATTCAATCCACCTGGAGCCTTTCCGGGGCTACTGCCGGTCCTAAGCCCAGATAAAGAAGGAGGGTTGGGTGACCCCATCCCGTAGAAAACTATCTCACTAAAAACGTGCTAACCAGAAAAAACCCCATTAATTCATCCTATTTCATTACAGGACTTGAAACTTTATATTCGGAAATTTGTAAAGATTTTGCCTAAATTAGATATCGCCACAATCGATAAAATATTTTAGAATATCAGTACGGACTAATCAAACAAACTACTTGAATAAACCCTTCAACCAGTTTTCTCGATCTTCGTTAACTTACTTGCGTGTTTGGACAAGGATATAAGTTATCCGACATACAATATAATTATACTTAAACATTAATAGATCAAAACATTATGAAAGTTGCTCAAAATTCTTAATTATTTCAGTTTCTAACAGTTATTAACTTGTAAACTGTTGACACATATTTTCAAATGATTTGCAACTGATTGCTTTATGAACTTACCTCAAATATCTCTGCAGTAGCGTTCGAGGAATTTCTATATGAACTAATGTTCTGTATGCGAAATGAATTATTATCTGTCGATGTGGAGTTGACCGTTTTTGACTTCAGATCACGTCTAAGAACACCCAATTGTAAAAGACAGTTGCAAAGTTGACATACAACTGAAATTAAGCCATGACTCCAAGGACATCCAGATTTAATGATATGTCGGCAAAACCATTGAACCAGAGTTGTACCTTTATAAATTTAAACAGAATTCCCATAATGTTTACGTATAATGTTTACGTGAAATTTACGTTATTATATAGACTTCGATCATATATGCTATGTGATATAGGTTGATCATATCATAACACTAATTTTTTATAATAAAATTGTTGGATAAACCAGTTATTCTGTAGACATGTTGGTGTCTCAGAGCCATGGTATGTGAGACATCCAAGCGTAGGAATGCTATTGCTAACAAGTTTATTTGGCCGGTTTCATTATACACATGATATCTGAACGAGTATTATGACTTATGAATGTGTTCATGTATTGAAATATTTTTACAACAAAGCCCTATGTATGGGCTTTGACTTCCTTCTTTATCTAGATAGTTGAACGACCTCTAGGAACATGGTAAAAACTGAGTATAACATGCTCCAACTATTAAAACAACATGATTGATTTGATGAATAAAAAACACTATCTAAACCATTAATTTGTTCATGGAATAAGGCCCAGTGGAACAGATTCCAAAGAACAAGAGCATCAGTAAGTTACTGAATACATGAATATATGGTAAGAATCTGTCGTTAATATGTAAATCATTCAAACTAAATGGTTTGACCGACTTTTTTTACCACTTTACTAATGACTCGATAAGCGTGATGATGAAGGTTTCAGACCTTTCATAAATAAGCATTGTAATACAGCCAGAGCAATATGTTTTATAAATTACAAGCACTTTGATGAATTTTATTGTAATAAATTTACGTGACCGTCAGTAAGGGTCCCGAATTCGATTACTCAGTGAGAAGTTATGGATGCGGGCTGTTGAGAAATCCAATACATAAAAGAAACTCCAGTCTAGTGTTTCCCGGTTTTCAATGGTGTTCTATCTTAAATGGCTTCATGATGTCAATGGAATTACTTAAGTACTTAACATTTTTTTATCAAAGTTTTATCACAGATTGAACTCATGAGTCAGTTGAAGCTAGACCACCATTGAAAACCTGGAAGCACTGGACGGCCGTTTCGTCCTAGTTGGAGTTCAACCAGGTCTGTTGTGAGATAGGAACTCACTGAAGACAATGGTGTACGGTAGCGCAACTTCGTGGATTGGTTGAAGTTAGACATTAACACCGTTGGATGCCGGCTCAGTGGTCTAATGGTTAAGTGCTCGCGCGCGAAGCCAGTAGGTCCTGGGTTCGAGCCCCGGGTGGTGCGGGGTCGTGGATGCGCACTGCTGAGGAGTCAATGGAAGGACGAAACGGCCGTCCAGTGCTTCCAGGTTTTCAATGGTGGTCTAGCTTCAACTGACTCATGAGTTCAATCTGTGAAAATTTCTAAAAATCTCCACAAAACACATTCCGATAATAAAGTTTTATCAGTTGAAAGTTTATAGGTCACAAACGAACTAATTAGTCGAATTTCTAATGCTAGTGTAGATATTTCGCTTGACAGATCGTCATTCAGCTTTATTTAAATTTAAACATTGCTAACAACCGTTTTCAACTCCATCTATAGTTAATCAAGACTTACTACCGCTCCTAAGCCTAGGTACGGCGATAGGGTTGGACATGAGGTCAGCAACCTCATGGCGTACAAAAAATTGCTAAAAGAAGGTTAGCAAAATTATGCAAATTAAACCAATTAAACACTGTCATCATAAATAAGGGATACTCATTAGGAAGAATTATGGTACTTCATAGTGAAAGCAAAAATTCTTCAGAAGTCACGAGGCCGATGGCCATTCTAACAATCAGAGAAACAATTATTATAGATACATGAAATTTCAGAACAACATGAGAAACAGGGCGAACCAATCAAATTGCTGCGGAAATGAAAAGATACAAATAGGCGGTTCTCAGAATAATTGGAACCCATACGACCAAATCTGGACAGAAAAGATTGGACTCAAGAGAGATTCTGTCCTACTCTAGTCACGAAGAAGAATATGCTACACACACTCAGGTATTTGCACTGATGATGTCCAAAGAAGCACTCAAACCCTAAAATGTATAACTCATTTATGACTAATGATTTAAATTAATTCTGTATGAAAAATTTTATTGATATAAGTATTAGAATTTATGAGGTAAGTGATATTAGTGAAGCCCTAATTGAAGGTAGTTCGTACGTGATAAACAAACGTTTAATACTACAACGAAGGAAATAAGTAATGCTGGTGTAGATATTTTTCATTAAACGTTAATTCATGGCATGTAATGTGCATGATGCCATTGAGTCACTGAGTTGAATTCCAGTTGTTCACACCTCTTAAAATAGCGTTAAATCTAGATTCAGAATGTTTCACTATTTATTACCAACCATCTTACAAAAAATAAATTACCTGAAAAACTGCTGGATAAACAGACTGGTTCATTTTGATTATGCACCACATTGTTTGCTGAAGTCGTTAATAGAGATTTCTTTAAAAATTCCTCCACAAATTTTTCACTCCATATCATTTTAGAAGTGTATTGGTCAGAAGATGGTTTATTAAAATGTGTTGGTGTTCCTGTTGAAGATATGGTCGCTGACGTTGATGACGTTACTGTTGTCGTTGAAGTAATTAAAGATAAAGCAAAGTGATTTATAGTAAAGGAGGTAGACAAAAGTAGTCCATCTTTTACAGATGTTTGTATATATAATTTTTTTACACAATGATCATTACAAATATCGTTTCCAAGTAAAGACAGTCCCTTAGTATCCATAATTATACTATCATCTAATGAAAACTGTTTTTTTAAAATGATTTTTCCGATAAATGTAGTACTGTAGCTATTTGATTATTTTAATTGTTGAGATCATGACTTAATTGAAGCTAGACCACCATGGAAAACCCGGAAGCAACGGACCGTGGATGAGCACTGCTGAGGAGTCTCACAATAGGACGAAACGACCATCAAGTGCTTCCAGGTACTTTGGAGAATTTTAAAGCGAAATTAGACACACTACTATCACTATAAAACTAAAATCTTCCGTTCGAATATTAGAGCTGTTAATGTTGCATATGACTAAACTATTATGAGCTAGGATGAAATTCTTGTGTAATTCTATTTAATTATCAAAGATTATCTGGTTGATGGAGGCCCGAGATGAAAACTCTCTGCAGTTTTCATATCGTTATTAATTAGTTCACTGTTAAGGTCTTCAGATGGAATTTTCTACGGGTTTAAAATTCTTTGTAGTTAATGAGATAAAAATCATATGTGATGGAGAGACCTCAGATAATAAGGCTCATAATCACTTTCAGTGGTACAAATACATTTTTTCTTCAATATTCCAGTAATGTTTGAGCAATATTATAATTTTATAGTTTACCGTCATCCGTTTTATTCATTTCTTAAGAATTTGGTGGTCCAGGAGAGTCCATCTATGTCATACCATACCTCAAATTCACACGATAAGTTAGAGATTCAGTTGTGGTCAGGTTATTGTGAGTAAGCGAACAGTTCAATGGAGCACGGTTACAACTTAGTCACCACTCAGCAATTCCTACTTGTATTGAACCAGTAATTCATATATACACATGAGTTTTGAACATTATTAGTCAGCCATTGGTATAAAGATTCCTACCCATTCTTTGTGATATCACTCTATATGGCTTATTGGATTGGCGTATATTATCACTGAATTAGACCACGATATAATGGAACTGTAATTTCCAGGGTTATATTTCTAATGAAGAGACAAATTTTCAAATGAAGAATAAGTACCGCTTCTAACTTTCTCTTGAAAGTTTACCCAATAAAATACAGCGAAAACTCTATATAGTCCATACAATTATTCATGTTCACTTTTGTTAACTTTCTGTCATTGACATTGCTCGGAATCATGACAAATTGAATGAATAAATATGTTTTCTTCTTCTTTAAATTATCAGAAGGGTTATTGTAGATATTATAGTAATTTCAATAGTTCAAATCATGAGTCAATTGAAGCTAGACCATCATGGAAAATTTGGAAGCACTGCGTATCCACGATCCCACCTCACTAGATTCAAAACCAGGACCTATTAGTCTCGCGCGCGAGCGTTTAACTTCTAGACCACTGAGCCAACAACCGACGGTGTTAATGTTTAACTTCAACTAATTCACAAAATTGAGTGACCCGGTTGAACTCCCCTTAGTCATTGCTTCTTATTAGTGACTGATAGGTCCTGGTTTCGAATCTCGCGAGACGGGATCGTGGATGCGCGCTGCTGAGGAGTCCCACAATAGGACAAAACGACCATCCAGTGTTTCCAGGTTTTCCATGATTGTCTAGCTTCATGAAATTAGTTTATAATTGACTGACTGAATGTTTATAGTCCACTTATTCTTTCATTTGTATAATAAAATTTTGGATTTCATGCTGTGACACTTACAAATTTGTCGATAATAACGATAATAATAATAATAATAATCTAATAAATAGATAACATTCAACTATCTAACTATATTGAATGAATGATTGTTTATCATAATTTAGTTTAAAAACTATTTAGATTTATTTTGAATTGTATAAACAGTAGCAATTTTTGTATATTTGCACATGAGAAATGAGAAAAGGAAGAAGAAGAAGCAGCAGCAGAAGAAGAATAAGAATAAGAATAAGAAGATAAGATAAGATAAGATATTAATTTGTTTCTCTATTTTGTCAGCTTACACATTTCACGATTATTAGAAGAGATATGTGCACTGATATTGTATATAAAAGAAATAATAGAATAACTACCAGCTATTCAAGTGAATATGACTATTCAGGTTGACAAACAAAATAGAAAGAGTTGAATAATAGAAGGATATACATATTTCTATAAGTAAATGTTAAATTTTTTTTTAAAACTAGTGTAGTACGAGAGATGAACTGAAAATTGTGATGATTAAATATTCCGATCAATAAAATCAGGAAACTAAGAGGTAAGAGGCCTAGTGTCGAAACTTCCTGTTAGTTGAAGTTCGTCAACAAGGTGTATCTGTACATTTATGGGAACTGATGATGAATTTGGACACATGTTATCCAACTTCACAATCGATGACATAACTACTGAGCTATTCGTATTACACCTTACATCCTGTTGGACAGAGATGTATCTATAATTGTTTGGCCATTGGCTAGTAACCAGTATTATATTAGTCTAGTCCTTTAGTTCTGATCCAACTTTGTCTATCAGGCTGCAAATGAATCTAACATGGAATACTATATATGGCATGACGGCCCGATGACGTAAACAAGTCCATCTAAATTTTCTATTGTACCAGATTAGAATTAATATTGCTCGGTGCCACAGTATGACATGTTCTTACTTAGTTACCGAAGCAATTTACTCCTCGTGAAGGGACATAGACAGCCAAACAGCCTTTATCCATCCAACTCATTCCTGGGCAATACTCTCCAGTGATTTTCCAGTTGCCATTCATCATTTTGATGTCTGCTTACAATTCCCGATACAGTGTGTTCTTTGGTCTTTCTCTTCTCCGTTTCCCTTCACGATTCCAAGTTAGCGCTTGCATTGTGATTCAGTTTCGTGATTTCCTTAATGTATGTTCTATCCACTTCTATTTCCTCTTCATTTGGAAGCTGGTTTGTGCTCTTCAACAGTAGATTGTTGCTGATGGCATGCAGTTTTCCTCTTATTACTGCTTATCAGTCTCAATGCTTCAAATTACTTGTTCTGAGTATATCCTTCAAGTCTTGGATTCTGTTGTTGGGGGCCATCTTGAATTCGTTGGGCCTGTCAGTATCTCGAAAAGGGGGCTGCACTGAACCTCTGTAATTCAGGTCCCCCAGTTGTCCAGTGCTTTCTTGGATTGAGATTAGTTCTAACAAACTCCAGGTGTTGATCCAAAGCTACGTCAACAATTCCTCTCCTGGTTCTCACGTTTTCCAGTGACCTGAACATTTTGGTGATGCAAATATGGTATATGTCACTGTCTGTGTTGTGATCCGCTGAAAGACCCATGTAGCTTCGTGTGTACGTTTGTGTGGGAATATTTTGCCACCTATATTTATTTTGTTGAATGTACATAAATTTGCAATGTGTCACCATTCTCAGTCCTTTCTCCCAGTCAGTCCATGTCGTTCCACGATATCTTCATACCCGGTGTTGTCCATTCCAACCTTGGCGTTTAGGTCTCCCATTGTGATGGTCAGGTCCTTTCCGGAGCACTTCACCATGCTCGACTAGAGCCTCTCGTAAGACTGATTTTTTTCGTCTTAATTTTTATCGTTGGTGAGTGCATGACATTGGATAAAATTCATTGTGTTCCCTTCCTTTCATGCTTTCAATGATGCTTTGATGATTGTGGATCCATGAGACTCCTATCCTATGAGTGCTTTAAGTGCTTCTTTGGATAGCATTAATCCAAATATCTGAGTGCATGGAGCATGTTCTTCTTCATGACTAGAGTAGGACAGCATCTCTTTTGAGTTCAATCTTTTCTGTCTAGGTTTAGTCCAATGGATTCCACTTATTCCGAGAACCAACAATTTGCATTTTCTCATTTCTGAAGCCAATTTATTTGTCGTCTGCTTTCAATACCTATGAAATGGAATTTAACTTCTGCTTCATGCTTCATAATATAATCTATTTAATTTTGGGTTTTGTTAAAGAGGTTATGTAGATACTTAGTCTGATCATGACTGTCGGAGAGAAGAAATTCTTAATTATATATCCTCAATATAGTTTTGTTACTTCAGTTATCTGCTTAAAGTTTGTTTGTTCCAGGTTCCTTATTGATGTCAATTGTTTCGCATTATCTCATACTTCGACGTTACATTTCAGTATAAACAATGTAAGCAATTGATGAGAAACCACCAAATATAATGAATTCATAATACTTTGCTTCAATTTCTGATATGGGTGCTACCTGTGGTTACGAGATAATTGTATTTCATTTAGTCTATAACACTGTGTTTAAGTTTCGATATGAACAATAATATTGTAATGATCCGATTTAGTATATCTTAGATTGTATCACCAGTCACTTTTCAAAATATAGTTTAACTTATCGCCAACTTTGATTGTTTGTTTCTTTAAAATAATTTTATTATGTTGTACAGTGACACGTATTTGATCCATGGAATTTATCTATTTACGTTAGGGTGATCCATAGAATTGCTTGCAAAAGACAAGCAAGCATCAGGAAATACTAAGAAGCGTTTCATCCAATCAGCGTTCACTTGAAGTTTTAGCCCGAGATATCAAGGAGGCGAAACGTCACAAGCAGAGGCTCTGGTTGGCTGGCTGCTACACTGCTACTATGTTTGGTAGCATTCCAGAATCTTCTAGCGACCCAAGGACATTTAAAATATTATAAAAACCCTGTATTAAAATGAACCTTGGAGTAAGCTACTTCTCGCATACTTTGAGTCTTCTCTCTCGTGTTCAGGTCACTGTATAGTTCTAGCTTGGGGGTTACAGAATAGCTTAGGAGAAGAATATAGCGTTCAATCCGCAAGACTTATCAACTTACCAGTAAAAGACACCGCATACTTTCCAAGACTCGACCAAATGAATGGAAAGCAGTTCGTTAATTCCTTCATTTTGTTAATTCCGAAACGTTTTTTCCTAAAATTCGTCTTAAAATTTTTCAATTATTTATAATACAAAATACCTCACTAATAGATTCTCTTTCCTCTATCTCTATAAGCCAACAGATTAGGTCACGTTTATTAAGATAATAATAATAATTTTTTACCCTATAGAACATGATTTTTGGAACCTTCACCACAGTAAAATTAGTTTCGAGAAAATAGTCTCGGAGATGTAGAAGTAGTTTTTTTTTCTAGACGTTTTTCTTTCAACTATTTATATTCAAAAAGTAAAGCTTAGCAGTTGATGCATGCCGACGTCAACTATTTTCTTTTTAATAGTTGATTTTATGAGTTAATTGAAGCTAGACCATCATAGAAAACCTGGAAGCACTGATCTGCTGTTTCGTGCTACTGCGCATCCATGATTCCGTCTTGCGTGATTCAAATCCAGGACCTATCAGTCTCGCGCGCGAACGCTTAACCTCTAGACCACTAAGCTGAACGGTATCCAACGGTGTTAATGCCTAACTTCAACTAATTTCCTGTTTAATTGTTCAAATAACTAACTTACATAATTGTTTGTTTCTTTTTTTAATCGTTTTTATAAGTGTATTTTTCATATATGCAGTCTGTCCAATACATATGTGAACTGATTTATAAGGATTATCATTTATAGGCATGAAAAAAAAACAAACGAACAATTGGATTGTACTTAAATACCTGTCTTTTAAAGTAGATTTGAACTTAGTGGTCTATCTTTATCCAGGTGTTAATCGTGCAATGATAATAAGTAGATGATAAAACGTAAAGCAATGAGGCAATTGAAAGTTAGACTACCGATATTATCCGAAGACGTTTACAGCAATGAAAATAAAGATTAGGAAAGTTTGTTGTCCTTAATAAGAAAGATTTTAAGGAGGATTATATTGATGTACACAAAATATTGCCAAAAAACTTCTTATGACCCACTTATTGTGCAAACTGTATATTCTGAACAAAATCGTAGAATTGATTGCATTGCCATTAGGACTTTACGAAATGATTTTAAGTAGACTGACAATTGGACGATCTGTTTATAATGATGGTATATTTATGGATTTATAATATCTTAATGAGTAGAAAACTAAACTCCTGGTGTTTCGTAACCTAGCGTAAATTACTTCTTCAGAGAATAAATAATCTTGTCTGACTGATACAAGTTTGGGGGGGCATGAAGAAAATTCTTTTATTTTTTTATTTATACTAAATAGACTTTTATAAATTCGGCGAGACTCGAATTTATGGACGAGCCAATCACAGGCGTTTTAGAGATTTCAAGGTTACGGTGCCAACTTCAGTGCTTAATGATAACGTACTATCGGTTCACAGGGAATTTTGTACAAAACGTGATAATTGAGCGGCTTTAACGAATAAAACGGCGAGACTATTATTTGTGGACGGATCAATCAGGTAAAAGATAATAGATCTCGGATTTTAATGAGAAAGACTTTCATCCATTTGGCTAAATGAATTTCTGGCATTATAGCTGATGTCAGTTAGTGATGAAAACCCCATATATAATTCCTCACTACGGCGAATTACGACAATTATTGCGAACTGGATAATAAAATCACCAGTAACATTGGCTCCAGCCAGGTACTACAATATATGCGGATTTTCGGAGAGTGTACAGACTCCTACATAGGCTTGGTTATGTGCATCATGTCGTTATCCACAAGTAGCATTTTGTGCACTCAACAACCGGAGTGCACACAAACAATACTGAACCTATGTGGTCGAGGTTGGAAGAGTTTTTGAGACTTTATCATAGCTCCAGAGGCCGACTATTCTGTAGCCATATGGATGATTTCCTCTACTGCATGCATTACAATTTTAGAACCTCTGAACCTCTTTCTATCCTTGAAAAGTTTTGAATCACGTATAGGAAATGTGTTCACTTTATTTCTTTGGTTTTGTATAATATATTTTTACTCCATACTGACTGTCTGCTGATTGGCTAATCTTTATCAAGGTCACTTAAGATTCGTTCAAAGGTCGTCCATAAATTAGAGTCTCGCCATAAATTCTACTTGGTTACCTATTTTTTTTTACAAAGAAACTTATACTAGGTCGCAAAGTGTCAGAAATTTAGTTTCATACTCAATCGGGATATTGTTAAGGTCTTTGCATTATTAATTTGGTTCTTATTAATAAACATCACTTGGTTACTTGATAAATCAATCAACTACCTGTTGTAACGTGTAATTACCAGACGGTTTTCCTATTCTATACCAAAAAAATCTAGTTGCTCTTATTTAGCACAGCTTATTCTGATTACAATATTAAAGCTAATGGAGCTGTACACAACAGATCTGTTGATTATTCTAAAATGAAACCAATTATGAATTAACGAATATTGAATGAACAAATGCTTCAAAGTTTCTTGAATGTGTAGTGACCTACCTTTACCAAGAGAACGCGATTGATTTAATAGAAACAATCATTAATATAACCAATTGTACCAGTGATTGTTTTACTGTGCTCGTTTGTTTAACTCTGCTATAGACTGCCATATTACTGCTCCCTTATCCTTCGATTGATTGTGACCTTGCACGGGTTCGGTCACGCTCGGTAACCACGCTTGTACTCCTTTGGCACGATCTCGGTATCCTTTCGATACCACGAGATCACCAACAAATACATCTCGACTACAGCCATCAACTGCTTTCTGATATTTGGCTTACGGGGGATTTTATCGCTTAACTGGCACGTAGTCTTCTTGTAGTGGTGTTCATAGTCCATAACGACTCGACTCCATACTACAGATGAATAAACTGAAAAGTTTTATTTTTTCTGCTAAATATAGCATATTTCGCATTCATTGTCTACTGAGTATATTCCTAAGGTTTTCATAAAGTCATATTATTTACAATCATTTGGACAATAAAATGACTATCAGAAAGACTGTACATATTCAAGACTTTCATCAGAAAAAGATGTTAACAATTGTCCCAGTTTCTCATCATCTGTACAGTTTTTACGGGCCTAAATAAAACATCTGATTGGCTTAAAAAGAAACACAACTGTTATCTTCAATATATTATCCTTAGAAATATCCCTCAACATTTATTGAAATTCACCTGAATTTGATGTAGCTTATCCCGTTTATGTATTTATTGAACAGATCATCCACATAATGGCTTAATGAATCTATGAAAGACGATCTCTATGACACTATCATGAGAAGACGCTGAAATATTTACATTGTGGTGTGTGCTACTTATATTGATATAAGTAGTATGACGCGAGTTAAAGAACGTATTGTCTGGCAGCAGAAGATGGGGAAAGATCAACAAAGAAAGAGGGGAACACAATGCAATTGTAAGAAAACGCATGAACCATGAAATGTGAGACAATGGATTGATGATTGCAACAGCAACAGTCCGGTTTGATATGATGGAATGATATTTGCAAATCAACGACTTACTATTGGTTTTTCTATTTTACCAAGTAACTCTGTAATTCGTGTTCTAAGTACGTTAGATTTTCTCCACACGTATTCCGTTCACTACAACACCCTTACCAATTAAAAATAGTGGTTTGTTGATGAAGCATAACTTATTTAACATTAGAGTAATTGTTTTGGAAATTATTGAATCAAAATACCATTAAAAGCCTTGAAGTTAATTTTGTAATAGAGGCTTTCTATGCTTTTGATTTTCAACCCAATGACCCTAAATGAAAGTGCTTGATATGTAAACCATTTTAGGGATTATTGAAATGAAGCTTTATACACATATGTCTCTACTATTTGGATTGTCGTGCCATTGGGAACACTTAGAGTTATTAGACTAGATCGAGCTCACAACACTCCAGTACTTTAGAGCCGAAGTAATCTGAACGAACGTTTTTCAAGATCAGAGAATTTTTCAAGTTGAGTTTTCAAACAGTAACTGACTTAACCACAGTAAATTTACATTATAATTGTTCATTTGATAGTAAATAATCTCATGTTGCTAATTTCTTGGTGTTAAATAAATTATAGAAGTAAAACATAACATTGTACACTCTATTATTTAAATAAATATTTACGTGCTGTTGAACCTGTTGTTTGTAAGTGAACGACGTTTTCCAAAAGTCCCATGAAGAAAACGAGATAGGATATGTGTTCGCGACTTAGAAACGCATCTGTTTTTTTTTTGTGTGTTTAATATGGATGTAGTATCAAGCATTTTTCGGGCGTTAGGCCATTTAGACACTGATAATTAAACTTTGCCATGTTATTACGTATGGACTACCTGGTTGGGGTCCGCGTGCTAATCATAATCAATGGTTGGGGAGTTTGAACGATCGTTCGCAATGGCACATGTGCATCCATTCTTTCTATTCCCACAAATTCTGAGATTCTGAATTTCTTATACTTTTTTTTCTAGTTTTCATTTTTTTCTCTAATTTATATTTTCTTGAATCGTATCTTCAATGTTTAAACACCCCTATTATCATTGATACTGTTATTACCTTTACTGTTCTTAGATTTGACCTGTGCTAACAGGTTATTGCAACTTAAATCGGTGTACATACGTTGTCACTGACTGACCAACTTTCATTTTATTTAGTTTTCTTATCCACCAGTTTGGGATGGGCCACAATGGTATATCAATAGGAGGCATATGTATATAACACTAGATAACTGAAATGAAGTCGTGATTTATGGTTCTGTATTAACTCACTAAATGAACGAAAAAGTGTTCAAACCGCTAGGCATTGTACTTTTTTTTTTGGTGAACATTAGAAAAAAAAGAATGGTCAACTGGACACATCAAAGATTATTAGCATTATAGTTAATAGTTTTTTTTTAAAAACTTCTGTTTACTTACCTACCTAATGATGGTTTTAATTCATTTTGATCAGATGTAAAATTTTGTTGCCAAAATGGTCGCCCAAAATTATATCCACGTTGTGAAAATATTGAACGAAATGTAGACGAAGTATTATTATTATTATTATTCCATGTATGAGGTGGTAAACTTACACTGTGACTGTTTGGAACATTATTATTATTATTATCACCATTATCGCGGATAGGATGTTCACTTTGAGCTCGTTGAAATAATCGTTGTTGATGTAATTTTTGAATTAAACCATTATTATCCATAACCGTATCATTTAATGGATTATATTGTACAGGTAAATGTTTCTTTTGTTGTCTAGTTGATTGTATTAATTCATCAATTGATATATTACTATTCAATTTCTCATTTATATTTTTAGTTACACTAATTGTATTGGATCGTTTTAATTGTTGTTTATTTGAGAAATTTGATTTTGTTCGTATTAGAATTGATGGATTGATAATTTCTTCTTTATTCATTGGTTGTTTTATTGTTGAATGGTTCATGAATGTAGAAAAATTCCTTGAATGTTGATTATTAAACTTTTGTTCAATTGAAGTGTTATGATTATTATAAATTGTTGATTGTAATGGTATGGTACTAATATCAGAAGGATGTAAAGATAAAAATTCATTCAGTGTAAGACCTTCTGAACGTGGTAGAAACATATTCTGTTTATTATTCAATCAATAATTCTTTTTCATTTACTGATGAAAAGTTGTTTTGAAAAAAGAACAAAGGACGAAACAAAAAAGGAATTTGATGAGTTAAAACTTGAATTTTAAAAAAGAAAAAAAACGATAAAAAAAATATAAATATCTGAAATATCAAGTTAAATATCTATTTCTTAAGTTACTTCAGTTGGAATATAACAAACAATATGAACTTCTTAACAGAAGGGGTTTTGTGGAGATTTTAGTAATTTCAATAGTTAAATTCATGAGTCAGTTGAAACTACACTATCATGGAAAACCTGGAAGCACTGAATGGCTGTTTTGTCCTACTGTAGGACTCCTCAACATTGTGTATCCACGATTAGAGCCCACGACCTATCGGTCTCACACGCGAGCGCTTAACCATTATACCACTGAGCCTGCCGGCCTCCAACGGTGTTGATGTCTAACTTCAACTAATCCATGAAATTGAGCGACACATCCACCATAGTCTTCAGTGAGTTGATATCTCACAACAGACCTGGTTGAACTACACTGGTAACGGCTTCTACCTAGAACTCCATGAAATACCTCTTAAAGTCAGTCACCAGGATGCCGGCTCAATGGTTTAATGGTTAAGCGCTCGCGTGTGAGACCGATAGATCCTGGGTTCGAATCTCACGGGGAGCAGGATTGTGTGTGCGCACTGCTGTGGAGTCCCACAATAAGACGAGATGGCCATCCAGTGCTTCCAGATTTTCCATGGTGGTCTAGCTTCAATTGACTCATGATTTCAACTCTTGAAATATAAAATGGTTATTAATCTGTGATCAATTAGTGAGGATATCTCAGTCCTAAAGGAATTCAATCATCGTCTAACTTACTCGTTGTCAATGTCTATGACTATGTGACAAAGTGATGTAATTTTAATGCATCTGGAATCATCATTACACTTATGATTGGAGATTCCCAAAAATTAGTAATTTTGGAAAAGATAAAAATTAAATTACAGCACCTCTTCTACATTTAAGTTGGTTTACGTTCAGTTCCGTCAAGCCCCTTAAATTAACTTATTTAAAAGACGAAGTCATTCAAACAGTAACAATTTGTATCTCTTGGTATTATTAATAAGTCTGTATGAAAATGTATGCTTAATCATATGTGACAGCCTACGCACATATCCATCTTTCCAGCTTAAACGTCAATTGCTTAGATCACTTGGATAAAGAATTCACTTTCCTATACATATATACAATTATGAATCATATTTATTGATTCGACTCTCTATTCGGTTCATTATTCGACACTCAATTCACCTTTGTATTCGTTCGGTCACATTAGCATTTCATCTCTAATTCGACTGGTTCGCTTTTGGCTAACTGATCTGTATTATTCAACAAGAAACTGTCGTCGGTTTTTAGTGTTGCCTACTGAATTCATATGCCGTTGGGTTTTATTTAATAAGAGCTATCAGGACGAATAATGTATGAAACTTAAGGAATTATCTCGAAGCTAATCCAGTACCAGATTAAGTATGTTCTGTCGTCAAGCCTAGTTCTGGAAATTCCATCAAAATGCATTTTAATTTGAATTATATTTAGTTAAATTTATATCCGAAAACAATGAGAATTTAAACTGATGATGCAATATCAATATGACGTTGGTAAGATGAAATCGTTGTATTTAACTTATTTGGATCTTTGCAATTGACTTCAATACGTATACTTTGTAATTTAGTATTATTTCAGCCATACTTTTTTAATAGACATCAAATTCTTAAACAAACTAATCTGATGTGACTGTATCAAAATCAGTACTGTGGTGTGGTAGGTCTCTTACGACGATTTTCCTCGTTAGATAGTGAATAATAACTTCATTATAGAATTAACTAGTAGACTAACGAAATACAAAATCATTTCGATAAATTCAATGATGATCATTCACTTACAAACTTTTGTGAGAAAAGTACGCCTTATTTATTAGAGGATGATTACAAACAAAAGAGTAGCGACAAAAAAACTAATACAAATGAATCAAACTTCACTTGATTGCATAAGCTAGTGGCTATCTAGAGTAAGTGAATAAGTGGATAACACGATGGCGTTTGAAGTGAAAGGTACTAGATTCAAGTCTTAGAATGAACATCAACTCTCAGATAGGACGAAACGTACGTCTTAGATTCCATTGCTAGCCACCATTCATCTCTGGTTCTAGTATCTAAGTTAAAGATTTTATTTTTAACAGTAAATGTACAATAAGGGAACAGCTTTGAGGTTAGATGAATAATACTAAACATAAAAGTTTCAAATACTGATAAACTACTTTCATGTCTTCATTCAGTAAGAGAAAAATGTTTTATACATAAGATTAAGCGTACTAGTAAGATATGCAAAACTATTCTGGATGGTTATTAGGTGAACAAACCCACTTCTTGACTTTTACACACTTTTATTATGTATTGAAACAGATCACACATATATATATGTATATACATGAAAAAGTACTTTGTTTAGTCTATCATCTTGCTTTGTTTAACTTTTTACTGATACGATAAGATTGTTTTTGTTTAGACCAAATGAAATGTATCATTTATATTTCTATGCAAGAAAAACTGTTCATCTATATTCATGTTATAATCATATCTGATGTTGATGAATTAGAGAAATAATTTCATAATATAATTGATTGATGTCATGTAATTGTCATAGTAACTCATTAAGAACACATTGCTCATTTCAACAGTCTATGACTTCATGAACTGATTCCACCCCTTGAATAAACATCCTTTGGCTTTGTTCCAGGATATGTTCGTACTTTTGTTTTCAGATGGACATCCTACCCACGCAACAAGTGATGAAATCTGGTAAAAGTCAACCTAGCATTTTGAATTCTTGCAGAATCTTCGTTAGACTCCAACCCATCAGAGCTGACGAGACTTCAAAGATAATTGAAGTGGTCGATGTGCTTAACTACTTTATTCTATATCGCTAGTTCTAGTGTTGACGCAGATCAGACCTGAAGCAATATTTCGCATTTAAAAGGAAAGAGATGAGTTTCAAACGTGCTTCATTGTTACCAAGGCTGTTGAAAGACTGAATTTTGTTAGCATCTTTACCAAACAGGGTTATATCATTTTCAGATTTCAAGTCAGCAAATGAATCGCCGGGTAGAAAATAGATTTCTTGAAAAATGAGGCCATGAGAGAGTTGTGTTTCAAAGAATGTCTGTGACACAGTGAAGTAAAAATAGGGAAAATAGTAAGCTCTGTCAAGCACCACTTGCAACTAATAATTCTGAAAACAGTTCGTGATAAGCTTTTGCTTTAACAGTAGTGTTCGAGTAGAGTGCCTGTATATGTTTAATGCTCTGTGATACTTCTTTTAACGACAGACATTCATAAACCTGTTGATGTGCGGAATCGATCACTACATTAAGGTCGGGAAATCTAATTATGTTTGGGAGCCAGTAAGTATACCTGTCCCGCGAAACCTGATGGATGGTGAACATTCAGTTTATACATTTAAGCCGAGGTTAGAAACCGGACTAGTTCTCCAGCGTTTGTTTTTCGTGAGCCCTAATTAAACGTTGAATGATTATTAGGACTTATATTTCAGATAACATATTGGCCAAACAGATTCCTCTGTGGTTATTATGGGAGAGTTTTTGTTCTTTCTTTGTGACTGAAATGATCAACTATGAAGACCATTTAGACGGGATTACGTCCAGTCAATAAACTCCAGCTAATATTTAATTGACTCTAACAGCTAATCCTACACCACCGTTTATACAGATCTCTTTGGTCAATTCACCAAAACTTACCGCTCACCCTCGCCTTAAATTAAATAGGGTTTTTTCCACTTTATTAAGATTCGGACGGCTTACGTTAACATGCTATTCAGGTTCCTTGATAAATGTAGGCAACCAAAAGCTATCTGAGGAGCAGTTAGTTTGCCATGCCCAGTTTTTCAGCCTCTTTGGCGAGAGTGGGTTATGGTTTCATCTTTTTCAAGAATAGTCTCATCAATCTCAGAATTTTAAATATCTGTTTCCATGACAAGTCTGAAACGTTGTCTACTATTGCCTGCCAGTGTTGCCTCTTTTTATCACTTTTGCGTCAGATGCCCACCACTATTCATGATTTTTACATAGACCTTATATCAGTCTATGTCTAAATTGCTTCTAATCCTCATCGTCATCCAAAAGCAGTGGGAAGAAATTCCGAGTATATATCATTTCAGCAGATACTACTGAATTTCACTAATTTTTTCAAAACTTTTAATTGTAGTTACCCACAGATATCACTGCTATTTACAATGTTTTGATGTTCACAGGTTTTATGACAAATCACATTACAGTGAACACAACTTTGATGACCGACTAACTGCTTGTGTGTTCGTTTCCGAAACTATTTGTCTGTTAACTTGAACCATATGGCTCTTCTTAATGTGGCTTTTCTGCATTCTGTAAGACGTAAGTAAACATATGCTCATTCTAAAGAACGATCAAATTATAGACTTCTACTGTAAAGTGAACGACAGTCTTCTTTCAAGCCTCTTCAACTATGGCTGATAGCGACGTACATCTTTGGGTTGTTTGTGAGGGTCGCCATGTCAGACGATATCTCTCATTATGCATAAAGTTGGTGTGAGCCAAGAATAAACGGTGGTTTGAGCACAGTAGCAACAGATGATCCCTGTTCAAACAGACTCCAGAGCCAAGGTTTAACTACTTAAGGTCGGTCACACAAGATTATTTTGTGAGAAATTCTTAATGTGTTAGCTCTGTGTTTCAAAAATCGTCCCTTTAGGAGACAAAGATCCTTGGGATATATATATATATATTCCCGATCACTTCTTTACATTACGAGAAATCTGCGTCACTCAAATGCTGGACGCCTAGTCAAAACACCTTATTGCCATCACGCCTAAGTACGCAGTCCGTCTACTTTAGCCTTATCGTTACCGAACTAATCTGACTTGAGGAAAGATCACTCGATTAAGTCATTATGGTAAGCG